ACTTTTTATCTTAATAAAACTTGTTTTACGTGCTCTAATATATTTACGAATAGCTTTTCTACTTAGTTTTTTGTTTTATTTTTCTTATATATTTCAGGTCAAAAAACTTGTAATATTTTTATATTTATTGTCCGCATTATTTTCGAGAAGAAAAGCTGTTTAATTTTTTTTAACAGATCAGGCCAGTATAGGTAGTAAACTTCATGGTTATTTTGAACAAAATTTAAATTTTATTATTAAAATTTTCTAGTACAATAGATCGAAGAGTTTTGCTATATTTTTACATAGTAGAAATTCATTCAACATAGGAACTAAGATCGGGTAAGATCAGAAGCTCAACCTTTTTTAGCTAATAAATATTGTTTAGCTGAAACATTAACTAATTCTTTAACCCATCTTCCTTTTAAAACTGGTTCCTTAATTTTATAAACATCTTCATACAAAATATTATACAATTGAACAAGACCATTTTTGTAAAAATTGAACATTCGTATATAACCCTCATTATTCATTTCTTGTGCATACTTAAAAAGATCATGTTGGGCAGGATCAGGGAAATAAAATGCGAAGGTAAGTTCATCAACAAGTTGCCACAAAGCTTCAGTATATTTTTTAACTGCTCGATCTCCTGTATTAACCACATTATCTTCTACAAACTCATTATACAGCAACAATAGTCTTTCACGTTCATCTTGGATCGCTGTTATTTTCTGTTTGAGAGTGTTTAGATCTGATAAACCAGAAGTTAAATTTTGCTTGACAAATTTAACGCCATATTGCTCTAAGGCTTCATCATAAGCTAAGTAGTGGTTTTCTCTCATAATATTTACTGAAGCAACATGCTTGAATAGTTCATATTGCTGTGGATTACGTGACACTGATTCTAAAAAGGTTACGACTGACAATATATAAATATTTTTACTAGTAGCAGGAAATAGTGGTGCGAATGCCGCCAAGCTTTTTAATTGCATATCTGCATTACCCAAGCGAATACCGATACGATGAGCCTTCCAATACCCAGCTAAATGGTAATACAAATACCATACTTTTAAAATATTGTTATCTCCTTTAAATATAGATTCTGTATCTAATGATATATTGTTATTATTTAAATGAAGACGAATTGCAATTCCCACGGCAGTATAAATTAATTCCAATACTCTACAAGTTGCACGGTAATCAACGTTTTGCTCTAATTTGTCAAGAAATCAGACGCCAAGCTTTGCCGCCATACTGTAAATACCATATCCACTAAATGCTGCAATCAAAGCACTACACATGGCCTTTGAAGTATGCCATTGTCCAAGAATAAATCTACAAGTTAAGTTGCTATTTGTATATTTTTTTGTTCTTGCAAAAATAGCCGCATTGCATGCTAAATCAACAACATTTTGTTCAAGGTCTTCTAAATACATGTTAATTGATTTAAACACAGCTTCATTACTATTAGGTGCTGGTCTGGGTTCCAATATAATAACATTTGGTGGATTTACTCGACACCCCGGTTTGATTGTAGTAAGTATTTCAGCGTTCATTTTTTCAATTCCAAAATTTTTATTATACTTATATACTAAATGTTTTATTATTTTATCAAAATTCATATCCCAGTTGGACGTAAATAATGTTTGACCAAATAAATTTTGTTGAGGTTCTGGATTTCCTTGAGCAAGAGACGAAAGATTGAATGGAAATTCAAATTGAAACACCATTCTTAGAGTGGTATGTGCAGATTGCCGCGTAATATCATATATATTTCTATACTTAAAAACAATATCCTTGAAGTCAATATTATCAATCACAGCAATGTTCCATATATTCGGACCTTTGATTAATCTTGTCAAGGGATTAGATTTGTTTATACGCTCTTTTTCTAGTATTGTTTCATGTTTCCAGGTATGAGATGTAATATATACCGTACGCAATATGGCTTGCAGAGAAGATATTAATTTAGGCTTTTTACATAAAGAAGCCATGGTATAGGTAAGCCAAATTTTCCATGAGCGAAATGCTATTGTTAAAATAATAGATGCAAGAAACGATGTAATCTTTTTTATAGCAATTTTGTTAAATTCAGGTTCTTTTTTTCCACGTTGTCTATTTTTCTTTTTTCTTATTTCATATTTTCGTCTTTCAATAGATTCGATTAATCCATCAAAAAAACCAATAAGGACTGAAGGAAAATTGTTATAATATT